CCTAATCCATTCTCACAGTTTAACAACTATATGTACAACCATGGACACTGGACAGCTGCAGTTCCAACATTGTGCAACATTTTGAGTACACTCTTTATTCCCATGAGATTCAGATTAGGTTTGTGGCCACTTCAAACTCAGAATAGATTGACTATGCCTGCTTTTTAATATTTTCCAACAGATTAATTTGGCTCTTTACTTTCATCTTTAGTGAAAGTTTCTCTTAAATGCTTTATATTTCCAGCCACCAAAGTCATATCAGCATAAGTTACATCATGAAAATGGGATTGCTTTGATTCTGCTGAACCTGTGGAAGTTGACAGGATCCTCCAGAATGTAAATGCCATTATTGTTTTAGTAAGTTGGCTGAGAAGGCAGGGTTTCATGGAGGAAACAAATTATCCTGTTCAATCATGTTTCAGGCCAGGGTATGGGGCAAAAATAGCATTTGTTGCTATTATGGATGACCTCTAGTGAGAGTGGGATAGTGAATCAATTCTTGTCTTCTTGACTTATTGGCAGCTTTTGATACTATAGACCACAGATTTCAAAACTGTGGCATCTTGTTGCTGTCACATGAGGTTTCACAGAGTTTATCCAATTCATGGAGCTGGAATGGGCTTGGTCTGCATGTGATGCATCCAGCCTGTGGGTCTCAAGATTGACACCCCTGTTATAAACCATGATATACTTTAAAGCTATCATAGGGAGTTTGGGATGAGTGGCAAACTTCGTTCTAGTTAACTTCTTCTTCCATAGTCAGTCCCAATCAGTATTGATAGTAGCAAGAGGTCCAACTCATGTCTCCTTTTTTGTGTGGTACAGCCTCTGTANCTTCGACTTTCTAAGATTTTATTGTGCAGCTGTTTGGCTTAAGATCTGATAAGATTTTACAATTGTCCCTTTGAAGTCTGTTTTCGCTTGCAGAGAGTTTGCAAGTGAGTGTTCCAATCTTGCTGAGCTTCTAAAAAAAAATATAACTGCGTATAAACATGGTGAGGAATATTTCTGAGTTGGCTGCATTGTCCATCAGAAAAGATTTGTGCATTTTTCATCCAGATAAGGTCGTTTTCCGCCTTGATTTTGTACCTAAGGTAAATTCTGTATTCCACGGAGCCCAGGAACTGATTCTTCCTGACTTTTGTCTTAAACCATCTCATCGCTTGGAACATAAGTGGCATTATTTTGATGTGTGACATGCGCTAGACATTTATATTAAAAGAACTGTTGTTTTCAGACACTCTGGGGCTCTTTTTGTAAAGTTCCAGCCAGGAGGTAAGAAAAGCTCCAAAGGCTCTTCTTCTGACATTGGTTGTTGGGTATGAGCTGCTATTTCTAGAGCCTACTCCACATTCTCCCTGCCTGTTTCACCCAATATCATGGTGCACTCCACCTGCAGCGCAGCTACCTCTGCTTCCTGCTCATCTCAAGCTTCACTAGAGGAAATTTGCTGGGCGGCCACTTGGACCACTATCTCTCTGTTCATCAGCCACTACAAGCTCAATAGATATGCCTCAGCTGATGCGTCATTTGGCCGGCACGTGTTGCAGCAATTGGGTTCTTCTTAGGATTATGAACTTCTATTCAGGACCCTCCCAATGGGACAGATTGGGCTTCGGTATGTCCCATGACTGGATGATGTCTCCACCTACTAGGAGAATGTGTGTTGGTTACTTACCTGATACACCCTTTCTCGGGATGGTGGAGACATCATCCATCCCCACCCTTTCTTTATGTCTTAATCCTTGATTTTTCTCTGTTTTCTTACCTTGAGGAGAAATATTATCTATCATTTGAGACTAATTACACAGCAGTCTACAAGTCACGCCTTCATCTAAGCTGGGTAGGAGGAGCCTCATGGGTGTGTTTTTAAAGCTTGTAGACCCAGTCCAATTGGATCCTGACAGATTCATACCCATGCCTGGATGATGTCTCCACTGTCCCGAGAAAGGGAGTATCAGGTATGTAACCAATGCCCATTTCAATGAAGATTGTTCTGAACATGTGCAGAACAGAAAACCAAGATGGTGCCAATGGAGGATAGAACTGATACAATCATGTGTGCACTGGAGTTACTACCTATTCAGCTGAACAGGACCAAATAGGTAGGAACCCACCTCTGCTTGAGGAGAGGCAGCATGATCAGTTCTTAAACCAATTTATATTTATTAATTAAGGGATATCATTTTATTTTATCATTGATTACCTTAGTGTTTGGGACATACTTGATTCATCATAATGTTTGAAGATTCTGCTACACTGACTTGACTCTTTTAAAAATCATAAGCCCTTTACACACTTGATCTCATAAATTGCAACTCTTGCAGATTTGCTACTAAATATTACTATCCAGATAGATTTCTTTTTAGGCTGAAGTGAACTGCAACAGATGTGAACCTTCTTGCAATAGATGGAGGTGTGGCCAGCACGCATCCGGCCAATGGGCCAGGAGTTTGACAGTCCTGAACTAAATAACCCAATTGATACAAGAGGAGGATTTAATTCTGATCTTTCACTTCACATGGTCACTATTCTTGAGAATCTGTAAAAGTTCATGGGTAAAATACGACGCTTTTGTCAAGAGGACCTTTATTTTTTACATCTTTTTTACAACGTGTTGACTAAAACTGGAATACTGCATTTTTACTGCATGTAAAAAAGATATGGAGACTCTAGAAAGATGTAAAAAAGATATGGAGACTCTAGAAAGATGTAAAAAAGATATGGAGACTCTAGAAAGATGTA